CAACATGGTTTTGTTAAAAAGAAGTCGGTTGTAACTAATCTGTTAGCATTTTTACAACGAGTTTACGAGGCGCTGGATAAAAATCCGAACGATGAAGTGCTCGTTTATTACACCGATTTTTCAAAGGCATTCGATAAAGTGCCCCATTTTGAATTGTTGAAAAAAGTGGCGAATATTGGAGTAGGGGGATGTTTTTTGGAAGTCTTAGCGAGCTATCTTGAAAACAGAACGCAGTGGGTAAAATGTGACAATGTATCATCCTCTTCTAAATTAGTTACAAGTGGAGTTCCTCAAGGGTCTCTGCTGGGGCCGTTACTGTTTTGCATTTTTATAAATGACCTGCCAGAAGTGCTAAAATTCACTACTCCCTTCATTTATGCAGACGATTTAAAACTTTTCTCGGCGGGCCTATCCAAATTTGAAATACAATCAGATATATCGGCTTTAGAAAATTGGGTGAACGGAAACAAAATGGAGTTGGCTCCTGACAAATGCAAAGAGCTGATTTTTCGAGGAAACTCAAATTCAATTCAAATCAATGGGCATATGCTTGAATCAGTAGAAACAATAAAAGATTTGGGGGTACATATTGATAAAACCCTAAGCTGGTCAAATCATCTAATGGCGAGAATGAAAAAAGCAAATCAGATTTTCTATTTTGCTAAAAGAAATGTGGCAAAAGGGGTTTCACAGAAAGTAAAATTGGGTGTTTACAAGTCAGCGGTTTTACCACTTTTAACATTTGCATCTTCGTGTTTTAATATATGCCGCGCAAATTTATCAAAACTTGAACGATTCCAGAAAAGAGCGCTAAAATGGGTAACAAACAGTTATGAGAGTGATTATCTAACGATGTTAAAACGAACGAATACATTGCCCCTTACTATGTTCATACAGCTATGCAATCTATTGAACCTATCGAGCTTTTTTCACAGTGAAAACGATTTACAAATACGACTATTAACCAACAAGTCTGCCTCAAATACAAGACAAAATGATGGCCCGACATTAAGCCTTAAAAAAGTCCGCACAGAAAAAGCTCGCGCTGAGTTTTGTTTCAGGCTGTCTCGGGTGGCCAATCATCTACCTGGAACAGTAGATTTCTTCAATCCCACGGGGCTAAAAAACAGACTCTTGAATTTTATGTGGACCTATCAAATGGCGAAATTCAATGAGGCGAATCCTTGCACATGGATACTGTTTTGTGATTGTCGAAACTGCAGGGATGTATGGAAGACGTTTTAAGAAGAAATGAACTGGGAGCAGTCCCATCAGAAGTATTTCTGAGAATCCACAACAACAACAACAACAACAATAAAAAAGCGGTAAAAATTTACAGCTTCTCGCAATAAATAGTTATACGTTAAGCGTGCCACTGGTTTGAATCAAGATTGATTGAGTTCCTTTGAAAAATACCATCTACTTCCAACTTTCGATACTTAATATATAGTTTTCTATGCGGTTCGCAATTTTTCTGGTCCAGTGGATGTCTGATTCCAACTCAATGTTCAGCGGAAATGGGGAGAGAGACATGTTAACATTTTATAAGTCTTTTTGATTTTTTTTTCGACTGGAAAGGGTGTCTGCTAAGGTATTCTTGGCTTTGTTGCCGCTTGGTAAATTTTTTTTAGATGCCTATTTCACATTCTACTGTATTGGCATGTCTTTATCTCAAAATTAGCCTTGTTCATATCGACAGATCGCGTTTTTTGACGTTTTCGACTTCGCGACTTTCTTGTTTTGTTTCGCAAGTGGTGCGAAGCTCGGGTTCATCTCTGTACCAAATAGTTTGCTTGTGAGAAAGTTCGTGTTTCAAATGGCTCAATTTTTAAATTCAACTTGCGGTTCGTTGAGGTGCACAGCATGACTGCCGGGAAATAGTAGACTTGTACGACCAATAGCCTTTCCCATAGTTTCTTTGAAACCAAGTTGTACCTTTTGCCGTGCTAGTAGGTCGGACCCTCCAGAGCAAAAGGGTTCCCCGTCGTTCGGAAAAATTTGGAATTCAAGAATTGGGTCAAAGTCAACTCAATTTTAACCACAATGGGGTTACCCGGGTCTAAAAAGGGAAAATAGTTTGTATTTAATATAAAGAATGAGCTATTATTAGCTAATTGTAACTAATACTATACCCTTCTTTTTTCCGAACCCTTTTCTTGATTGGGAAATTTGCAAGCGACGAAGGGTATAAAAGAAGAAGAATAGCCGGCTACTGTGCAAATAGCACAAATTTTTCCGACCGTAGTCTTACAAAACAACTACAAAAAAGATTTTTCAAATAAGTATTTTTTCTGCGTGGTGTGATAAAAGGATCTGAACAAAAACTGCAACTTGGGAATAGTGCAATAAAAATAAAAAAACCCAAATTTTTGCTGAAAAAAAATCAGGAAAATAATTTTACTCGACTAAAACTAAGTTTTCGGTGCTTAAATTTGACCTGTTTTTCTCGACATTAAGCATGAATAAGCTATTGTAATTGATTTAAAATAAGCACTATTAAGCCTGCTAGCTGGCTTTTTTTGCTTGAAATTAGAGGAAAAATAAAAAAATTCAAACCGGTCTTTCTCGACACTAGAATAATTTTTGGGAAACGGGAAACCACTGAAACGGCTTTAAATCACATATCACTCAACCCAGTCTGATGAGTGTTTGTGGTACCTGATTCTGCGTGGAAAACTAAAACCCTCGAATACAAAGTTCCTCCCCATTTTTAATGGTCGGAACAAATAGTCTTACTGCACCTTCCGCAAACAAACTTGCTTAAATACTCAAACACAAATCCAGTGAGGGTACCAAAGAAATAACTAAAAACATATTCAACGAGACTGAAAGTTTTTCAAAGCTCCAGTTCGTCCTTACAACGATTTTATGGGCTCAGCTGGCATCTACTCAATATTTGGTTTTCTTATAGCTTCTTAATTTTTATGTATATTTAGTGTGATATTTTTAGTCGCCTTATTTTGCCTCGTTTCGTGTTCTTATGCGTGTCTTTTGAGGGGGGATGCGACGTTTTTATGAGCCTTCTATTGAAAATTTTTAATGGAAAACATTGTTTTGCTCAACTGGTGTCTACTCAAGTTTTTTTTTGGCTTTATTTCAGATGGAAAAAAAACATGAGAAAACCTTGGGTTTTTCTACCTTTCTTCTTTCGCCTCACTCTGTCGAATAGTTTTTCATTGACTATTCTAGAAGAAAGCTGCTTGCCTATTCTTCTCCAGTTGATAGTTAATCAAAGGCCAGGATTTGATATTTTCAAATTTAGAGAAGTAAAATTGCTGATTAGTGCCGTTACGCTTATTTTTTTCTTCTATTTGGATGTTTTTTGAACAAATTTTGTATTTGATTTTGATCAGATGTAGTAACTGTCATAGTGTTATTATATCTTGTCGGAAAGAATAAAGTCTTTATCATTATAATATCGAAATCGGATCATAGACTTTTTTCGGGTTAACATTTTGTTGAACAGTATGACTTGATATCTTGTCTATTAATTAATTGAAAGTACTAAGCTTTTTCGCCACATTTAGCCTCGAGTTAACGACTACGCCGGGGACGGCAAAGGTCCTGGGTTTAAAGCTGACCAGGACTTGTTTTTTTTCAAACCACATATTCCGTTTCAAAATAATTGTCGGCTTATTATTTGTCTGCTTATGTTTTGTCGACTGACTTGCCACATCTTCGAATTTTTTGCTGTATGCAGCTTTTATTATGTTTGCTTTCTTGTTTTCCTTTATTGATGCAATTTGTAATTCTACCAGACTTGACGTTTTATGTTTCCCTTTTTTGCCGCCGAAAAAATGTTTCAGCCTAAATGGTCCCGGCTTATATTCTTGGCTTAATAACCTAATTTTTGGTCGTTGGAGGGAACCATAATTTGTATGCTTTCCTGAGGATCACACAAAATGTTAAAACGCTCAGAATAGAATTTATAGTTCAAGTTTTTCATGTCAACAATTTTATTTATCGCTCGATAATTGTTTTTGAAATTTAATTAAGTTCCGTCAAATATGTTTCCGGACGTGTTTTCCGCATATAGAACCTCATTCCTGTCAATATTTTGAAGTTTTTTGTCTGTGGTTTTTTCGAAAGATTTCTTTGGACTTAGTGACTCTCCTTTCCTTTCCTGTCTGCTAGCTTGCAACGCTATTTTTAAATTTTTCTGTGGCATCGCATGTGATTTGAAGCTCCGGTTCACTTCGCTTTTGTTTCAAAATATATTTTTCAAGTATATAAATCAGTCAATAGAAATAGTGATCTGGATATTACAGCCTGTTACACAAAACGCGATACGTAAAACAGTTTTTTTTCCACAAGCTAAGTCAACAAAAGCTTCACGTGGTTGCACTTTCGGCATATTTCTAACCATAGGCAATTTAATAGCATCTGTTGCTAGTTTATTGGTGGCTAGCTCTAGTTTACTTTCAAGCGACTGAGGCGCAGATGCGAAATTCCTCATCTGCAGGTCGGAGAGTTAAAGCCGGAACATGAAATAGTTTTACTTCTTTTGGTGACACTTTTGATGCGAAGCTTTGGTAATTTAATAGCAGCTGTAGATGCTTTTCCGGTGGTCAGTGTAAGAGGGTTGGTTTTTAAGCAATCTTGGTGCAGATGCAAGGGCATGAGTTTCCCAATATAAGTTTTTCTTTTTATTGGATGGTTTAAAATGAAATGCGACATCACCTTATTATAATAATAGTTTTTTTGCTGGTTTCAGCCTGTTTTCTGTCCAAAAAATTTTGTTTGAAATGATTCAAAAAAGCGAACCACAATCGTCGTCTTTTTTGGATTTAAGATTGTTAAATCTGGAAAATGAAAGGAGAAACGATTTGGATTAGATGTGTTTTTTTTTCCAATTTTTTTTTGCTTTTTAATTGAGGTCACTGTTACAGTATAGTTTTTTCCTATGCGCGCATTATGGTATAGGTTTTCATAGCTTTTTTTAAAAAGGCATAGATATATTCAATTCTACAAGTTAAAACTATTGTCTCTTTTTCAGATATTGTGATGACGTTTGGTTTTGCATCTTTGAGTTTGAATCACCTAACTAATCAATTTATAGCTTAGCTAATTGTATTAAATATCATATCATTGCAGTAATGAATACTTTCAAGCGATTGACAGATGGGCTTTTAAAAGACGTTCATGAACTTAGAGAACTGAAATCCACTATGGATGAAGAGTCTTTGAGAAAAGCGGACCTCATTTTGAATCCCAAAATCGAGGATGCAACTTTACGTGAACGAATCGCTAAACTTCGTGAAAAACTGGGCGATAAAGTTTTGGAGCGTCACTCGGATTGCGATTTGAGGAGGTTTCTGAAAGCCCGTCACTTGAAGGTCGACAAAGCAGTAACGATGTACGAAGAAATGTTGAAAATTCGAACCCGTTTTGGTTTGGACAAACCGGACTTTTTTGAGGCGCATCAACCTATGGATGCCTTTGCTAATCATTACCCAATAGGTAGAAGTTTCAATTAATTAGGCGATCAATTTGTAATTTGTAAACTAATTCAATTTTTTTGGCGTTATTTGGTCGAGGATATAAAATCCATTTGGCCCAATTTGTATGATTTTTGGTGATTGTGCTAACTTTTTTGGAAAGTTTTAGCGAGATAACATTTGATCAGTAAATTCTATTTGTGCTGAAATCTCTAGCTGTGATTAAATCACATATAAACTCCCTCTTTTCTTAAACCAATTTAGTCATCAATTTTTAACGTATTAAATTTTTATGAAGGCATTTAAATTTTCATTCATAGTCATAACTCATAACATCCGAGATTTGACGCCAAATTTGTTTCAAAACTTAAAATATCCGTTATATTAAACGGACTAAGTATGAATATTGACACATCTAAAAATGTAGGGCTGTGTGGGCATGACAAAGATGGATACCCTATTGCGTATGAGTTTCCTGGCCTGATTGATGTGAAGGGATTTGACTCTTCAATGACAAACGAAGAATTTGTCACTCAGGTTAGAAATGTTCCTCCATTTTTTAAATTTTGAATTGGTCTTGGAAGCTGATCTAATTTAACCAAAAAAGAGTGTTGATTTAAAGGATCAGAACAAACCTCACAAAATTGGAAAGTTTATACGCCTTTTTCTCAAATTGGGTTGAAATTATGCAGAAAGTGATCAGGACAAAAGCTGCTCAGATTTTTATCAGAATTATTAGCGTATACTTTTTTTGAGCAAATAGGACACAAAATTTTACCACCAAATTGGGTCATTATTTGTATCTTTTAGTCAACTATAAACTAAATTACACTTATAAAGTGTCTTTCTACACATTTACACAGGTGCTGTGGAATCTGGAGTCTTTGTTGTGTTCGATGGAGTTGAGGAGTATAAGAGAGGGTAGACTGTGTGACAGGTGGTCATTTATTGTCGACATGAGAGGACTGTCCGTCATGGAGTCATTCAGGTAATCGATTGAATACATTAAATCTTAGTTTGAGTATTTGAAAATTGGTAAATTTTTAGGTGTCAGTGAAAACAATGTGAGTTTTTTTGGTTTTGTAAGCTTTTGTCGGGGCATTTTTTTTTTTTCACTTGCGAGAGCAAGTGAAAAAAGTAATCGGGAACGAGAGTCTTGTAATCGGCAACGAGACTTTTTTTCGTAAACAACTTGTACTCATTCTTCTCTCATTTATTCTTTTTTTTTCTCACTTATTGCGCCTTTATATTTGTTGGCGCCCAAGGCGCCTTTAGAAAAGTTTGAGGGTCAGAAAATGGATATTTCAAAATAGTACAAAGGGAGTTGGCAGGGGGTCGAATCCGTGAAGGGGGCCTCCCTTCCTGCCCCCATTCCCTAAATCCGCCACTGTCTGTTTCTGTATCCTTTATATAGCACGCCGTTTATTATATCAGTGGGAACATGATAACTTATTCATTTCAGCAAGAACCACATAAAACGAACCAGTGAAATCCAGCGCATTCTGGACGCCTGTTACGCGGAGAGGGGAGGAAGAGTTCTGATTCTAAATGTGTCTGCCGTGTATGACATTCTCTACAATATCTTCAAACCCTTTCTGGCTCACGAAACAAAGGCCAAGATTCTCCTTCTGAAGAGTGAAAATGAATTGTTGAACTACATTGACGCCGATCAGCTCCCAGTGGTTTATGGGGGAACAAAAGGTTTGTAATTTGGGAACCATTGTCTTATAACCCTTCGATTTATAACCCCTTCATCAAGTAAATTTTGAACCCAATATTAAATAAACTTCTGATTTTTTTTGCATCGCTGGAACAGTGAAAGAGTCTTGATAGTTAAAGAAAATTTCGGGTAAAAATTCATGATGGAAAGTAAAACATATAGTTCCCTGAAGAAGCTTCTCATATCTTCAATCCCACTTTGTCGTCACATTTTAAAAAAATATTTTATTGGTGTTAAGAAAGTTTTTTCTGCATGTTATACACAAGTGTTCTAAGAATAAGGGTTTTGTTAACTACTTTATTTCGTTGATTTTTTGGCTCTTTCAACTAATTCTGTCAAAAAATATGACCACTCATCATTTCGTATTTTCAAGATGGAAGTATTTTCAAGTGTTCGTTTTTTGAAGCAGTCATTTTTATTCAGCATTTTTTGTTTCAGTTGATTCCAATGGCGACCCAGAATGCAGTGAATGGATCACAAGAGGCTCCATAGTCGACAAAAGTCTCTACAAATTATGAAAAGAACAGAACATGTACCACCTGTTGTAATATGCTGAAAGTAAATTGGATCCATCCCAAGTAAATGGTTCGAATGGGGAACAACCAAGCATCAAAAATACCGTAATTGGCAACAATTCAAATAACAAAAGAACCTTATGCTCGAAATTCAATTACCCCTATACTAGCGCAGTGATGAAAGAAAATGATCGCATCAGAAATGGTTGAAATAATGAGCAACCAAGTTTCAAAAATGAATGGAGATTTTTTTGTTATTGAATGGAAAGTTTTTTAATCAAGTGCATTAATTGATAGATTAGACTTGAGTTGAAAACTATTCTCATGACAGAAATACCAAACGCTCATAAATGTTCGACCAATAAGCACTCTTTAAACTATCCAAACTGACTGATTTTTACACTTATTGCCATTGAATTTTTGAATCGTAAATTTCAATTTGGCTTTAAGTTTTTTTCGGGTATTATGTCTCGAAGAATCTTCCCTGAGCTAATTGAACATTGCTAGGAAATGAGTTTAATGCCAATTGAGTGTACATCATGTGAATATAACCTTTGTGGGAGTTATAGGAAGTTGACCCTATCATTTATGTTGTCAGTGAAATTTGTTTTAATTGAATGTTGACTGCGTTGCTTTTAACCTCATTTATTTGTTTTCAGTGATCGAATTTCTGGTGCTTTATCAATACAATGTAACTAAGAGAATTTATTTTGTTGTAAATTGTAAGTTAATGTATATAATGTTTTTGAAATGAAAATATATAATTTCAAAACAAAATTCGATTTTTGATGCCCATATTTTTCCCGAAAAATCTCCGTAATAAGAGCAACGGGAAGTCTACTTGTGTGAATTTTTCTGATGAGAAGTTGGAAAATATTTTGTAGTCATTTTTTTTATCAGTTGGCTACATTCGAGTTTTGAAATTTTTTCAAATGAACGTTTTATCAATTCAGGAAATTTTATCGATTTTTGTATGTCTAATTTTTAAGAAGTCTAGAATTTATGGTATGCTGATTGATGGAAGTTGTAATTTGGAAAAAAATTCCAGAGGAGATGGTAATTATTTTGCTTGTAATTTGCAAACGTTATCAGTTTGAAACATGTATTTTTTCAGGGTAACAAATTTCTGAACAGAATCAGTGAATCTTTTGATAGTTTGGTTTATTGTTCCGACTTTCGATACGAAAGTAACGGAATTTTTGTGCTCGGGGTGGGTTTTTTTTCTTCAGACAAATTTCGACTTTTTAACTAGCTATTTTATAGGGAATTTTATTACATCATTCAAAAGGTATTGTGGTCCTGAGCTTAAATTTGAAAAGATATTTTACTTATGATCATTTTTCGTAAAGTTATGGGTGTTTAAAGATTGCCATTTTGGCCAATTTGGGACAATTAACGCGCGATAAATTTAGCGCTATTAACGCGTAAGCGAGATTTAATCCGTCTTAGAAATGGTTCCGAATTGGTTTAAGGAAGATTATAATTGCCCTAATTGATTGGTTAATAGGAGCTAAATTTATCACTTCGATCTTAATATGACGTGGGGGGGGGGGGGGGGGGGGGGGGGGTGATGTTTTTACAAAAAATCTCAAATATAAAAATTTTTAAATTTTATTCTTACCGTTATGTTTTCATGTTACTTCTGCTCCATAGACCTTTAAAGGCAGTCGGAACGTTCAGGGCTTTGCCCTGATGCGAGCAGTCTTGTATTATTTTTGTATTGCAAATGATGTGAAGCTCCGCTTCGCCTGTGTACAAAAATACCAAAAAAGGAAACGGTAGTATAAACCTTAAGTTTTAATGGACTTACTCAGTCGAAACGAAATTGAGAGTCTGTTTCAGGAACAGCAAGTGTAACTTTTTGATAAATTATTTACTTTTGCGAAAGAACTTGATATCCTTTTTACTACTGATTTTTCTCTTTAATTTTAGTTTAACTCAGCTATATCAGCTCGTTTCCAGATTTAAGCAGATATTAAAGATACAGAAAACTTTTTTGCTGACAAGAATCAAGATTTTCGGCGGCAAGGGAGTGTACTTAAATTTTCCTCGGCTTAAATGCTAGATTTAATAATTTTTGCTAGTTTAATTTTCAAAAGGTTTAATCAGCTTCTTTGATTTTTGGGTTTGTGCGGAAAGCTTTGAGTACTTCTAAGTTATCAAGTTTCAATTGAGTCCATTTCAGGACTGCTTTATTCAAAAATGAAGTCCAACCTAACTTTTTTTCCAAAAACTATTGGACTAACTTCAAAATTTCCACCATGTCCTACAAACGATAGGCTTTAGTAAGAGTCGATAAGCGTTGTGAGGACTCTGATATTGGTCATGCAAGTTTGCTCAGGCTCAAGTTTGATTTTTCGCTGTTTGACTTTTGATAACTTTTACTTCATTCCGTTGTTGAAAAAGATTTTCGAAAGTGGATTTTATTTTTCCGATATCCCAATGGAATAAAAAAAGTTAGCCTATTGATCCAATTTTCTCAAATTGTGTGAAGTAGTTCAATCAATAAACTCGTCTAAAAATTCAAAGAGCTTCAAGATCATCTATTTTTTCCATGAAATGCGAGCATTCAATTTTTTTTTTAAAAAGTGGATATTTTTTTTGCGTTTATTGACTCTGTCCCAACTTTCTGTTGGCTATGTTTTCGGTTCAGCTGATTGGGAGGAAATATAATAATAAACGAATCAACAAACAGATAAAAACAAGAGATTTAAGTATTCACAGATAGATAGTTTAGGCCCTAACGCTATTTTTTGACTAAGAACTTCGGCATTGATTACATCAGTTTTTCTAATTGCACTTTACGAAATTGAAGATAACCACGGATTCAAAAGAGCGCGAATACTTTTAGAACTGAAATTATCTTATGCGCTCCAACGAGATGCAGAATTCTTTCAAGTTTTTAAAATGTCTAAGTGTCAATATCTCATTACTGTATTTTCAGCGAAGTTCAATTGGGTTTTTCAGACCAGGGAAATATTTGAATTATATGAGTTTGCATTTCAGGGGTTAAAAGTTGTTTGAGGGAATCGATCTATTATTTCGATCTGAATTTTCTGAAAGATAAGCGGTTAAAAACTCTTCAGTTTCGATTGTTTCAAGTTTGACTAATATTTAAGTTAATTTTAGTATAGCTGCCGTGACTTGTTTAGGCATTACCGTTGATATAGCTTGTGTAATACGCAGGTGTGAATCTAAGATTTTCTCAAGGGGGATTTCAAAAAACAGGCCGAAAAAGGCGTTAATAGGTACTTTATGGAAAGATTTGCCCATAAAATTGTGTTTTTTCGGCGCGGGTTTCCCCCTCGAAATTATTATATTGGCGGCTTTAGAAAAACTCTAAGGTCAGTCAGCCAAAAATAGATATCTTAAAATAGTTGAAGGGCAACCCTTACAATCGGCTACTGGTAATACGAGTGAGTTCTGATATTTTAAATGAAGACGTGTGTCATTATTCGTGTTAGTCGGCGACTCGAAATGCTTGTCTCAAAATCTGAAGGATTCAACTTTCCGGGTTGCAATACATATTGCTCTACCGCTCGGTCTATGATCGTCGGAAAAGAGTTTTAATCAGGCTAGTAACTCTAATATTATAGATAGATGATGATTGCAGAAGTCCGATCGATGCTGTTATTCTTGACGTTGTTACTCAGTGTTTTCCAAAGTAAGTTTTATTCTAATCAGAATTTTGAGAAGTATCTAAATAAAGTTTAACCAAACACTGGAATGACATCTAAGTTTTACTTTTCAATGATGTTTTTCTATCAAAGTCGATTTTTTTTGATGAAATATTTTTGGCGACATTGAAAATGCAATAAAAACTTGAGCTATATTTTTCTGAAAATAAAAAATGTTTAAAAGAACTGTGAAACTTTGCAAGTGAGCGCTTTTGAAGCAGATTCGATTACATTTCAGCACTAATTTGCGTTTTACTTCAGTGACGTTGTGCTTCAGTTACTTCAGGGGACAACTTTTACTTCGATTTTCGCATATACCGACAGCGAATTTTCAATGCTACCCTAAAAAATTTTAAAGCCATATAATTTTAAAGGCATGGTGCCAATATATACTAGTTTTAATGGGGAGCGCGCGCTGAAAAAAACTCAATTTTTGGGTCACAAAAGTCCAAAAAGTGCCCAAAAACGGCATTAATGACCTCTTTTTTTTCAAAATTTGAACGCGGCGCAGAAAATTTTGACAAAATAGGGTCTTAATAGTGTTCTGGGAGCAAAATATTTGAAACTTCCCACCTCTCTTCCCCCCTTCAACTCGAGAAATTCCTAGATCCGCCCCCTGAATAAAAGTATCAACTTTTGCTTTCAAAGACTTTTATGGTTTTGAAAAAGCCACTTTTCTACACCTGCAAATTTATTAAAGCGATTCAAATTATTTTGTTCATGCAGTTGGAAGTAAATCAATCGAGCAATAAAAAGTGTTCAATAAGCGTGATTTTCTGTTGGACGTTTTCATATTGGAAGCTTTCATATCTTTGGGAAAACTTACTGCACAAGGTAAAAGTGACAATTTCAAAACCGAAAAAACTGCTTAATCTTTGAAACCCAAAATTGATCTTTTTATAGATGGTTGTGGAACCTGTTCTAAACTACATTTTATGATTGGATAAATTAGATATTTTACCACTGTAAAGTATTTAATATTAACCAATCATGATCCATCTAACTAACAACCCACTTATTTGTAAGTGCTGAAATTACTTGTAATTTCAGCACCAGAGAGATTTGAATTTAACTTAGAATATAGTTGCCTCTCCAAGAGAACTTCAGCAGCCGCAATAAACCAGTATACCCTAGATCTATTGAGCCTAGCAGAGACTAGTTAAACAACCTGAGACTAGATAGTATAAGAGTAAGATTAGGATTGGTATTAGACTAAGAAGTTGCACGAATCTATCCGGCCGAAAATAAGATAACGTGACGAGCAGACGGTGTACCCTATCCGAAATTACTCTATGAGTTAACCACATCGGTCCTAACTCATCTGGTGCGACCATAAGTCTCGAACAAGACCTTAATAGCTTAGAATTAACCAAAAATAGATTAGAATTTAGACAAAACATTTTCAAAATGTTATACGACGATAATTTAATCGAAATGTCTCTACGACTCAATAGATCAGAGCCAATATTCCGAATAATAATAGAACTACCCGGAATTGGAAGAAGACCTCGAACCAGAGACGACATACGACAAAGTAGAAACTTACCATATAGTTATATGATAGTACGGCAAAAGCCAACACAAACAATTATATTTAGAATTTTATTAGCAATGAATTTAGATTTTCATTTGCAAACATAAAATCTTGAAGTCAATCTTCATGATCATTTCAGGCGCTAAACAAAATTATTAATATACAATAACGATTGATAAAAAATTTCAGATCGTTTTCCTAAATTCTGCAGTAATATATAAAACATATTTGGAAAATATTTATTGAAAATCAAAACAAAAATTAGTAACATGACAATAAATTATTAATAATCATAAAATCATCTGTTGTCCCAGTTTCATCACCTAAACATAACAGCAATCATAAGCTCACTAAACATCATTAAAAAACTAAATCTTTTTCTTAAACAAATTTAAACCATTTTAAACTTAAATTCACTTAATTTTAAAATCAGATCATCAAGGCTTATCCTTGGATCTTAATTAATTTTCTATTTCATTAATTTAAAAACTTGATCATCAAGGCCTATCCTTGATCAAAAAGAACAATTTTGTTCTCCCCTACCCACTTAGCTAGTGTCTAACGACCTCAAACGTCGATTCACTATCCAACCCTTCCAAAAAGCCCAAGACTAATAGAAATTTTTGAACAAAACTAATCATTCAAATAAGGATAAATAGTGAAGAACTTCGGTTATTCATCCTTCACTTGAACCCTCCTCTTACCAGACCCAGGATAAATCTTAGACTTAGTAAGTTTAAAATAGTATCTAACGAACTACTCGCGTTCTAATTATACCTGAACCTTGTGGATCGATTTACTATTCTCCAACCCTTGAACACAATCACTACCCCTAAGTAAGTTAACACCTTAGCTTATACTAGCCACGAGAAAGTAAAAAATCATTCTTCGGAATCGATATACTTTTCTCTCCAATCCTGAACAAATAGACCCAGGTTAAGCTAACCAAAAAATCGTAAGGACTAACAGTTTAAGAAAATAGAAATCATCTAACAACTTTTTGCATCCCTCATCCTAAACCTTATGTCATTTAAAAACCTAGGAAATAAACAAACAATTGTTTTACACAACTGTGAAATAGATAACAAAAAATACGACCTTGTAATCACACCTCATACACAAACAGTTGGATATATTAGAACAAAACGACAAACAATAAAAAGAAAAATAATAACAAAACAAAGACAAATCACACGAAAAAGATTTCAAAAAATAGAAACGCATTTTCAGAATCAGAAGCCAGCAATTTAGATGAACTTTATAAATCAAAGGAATCAATTGATAAAAATTGCCCCATTCACGATCAATTATATTTTTCCGACTCAGAAACAACTTCAAATTCATCAAAAAGAGGAAAAAGAAGAATAAAAAAGCAATATAAACACAAACCAGTACACTTGTATAATTGGAATCAACCAATTAGACACATTGATAGTTACATATTAACAGTCATTAAACGAAAAAATGAGCAACACCCACACTCCGAGTGAAGATAGTCCAGATGACGACGATATTTACCCCTTCCTCGTAGATGCACCCGATAATAGAGGACAACATGATCTTTGCAAGAATTAACTCCTAAATTTGTTTGAACCCGGAATCAGCCCATGCAAAGCAGAGTTCCCAGATGTAAAAATCAAAAGACAAATTATTGATCATTATCTGAAAGATATATGTAATTTAACACAACAATACGGAATCTACACCATAGAATTCAGTACACCAGACCCGAATCACCGCAAATATGTAATTCAAACAGACGATCTTGATTTAGAATTTTCAAAAGTAATCTCAGAATATATCAAAAGCATACAATATCATAACTCACAAAGAGCAAACTCCATATTTACTAATGAAGTTTTTGCAATAATATATAGTTATATTTCAATATTAGAAAACGAAATCCCAAATGTCTCAACAACAGAGACATCCAAACATATAAGGGTACGACATGAAATCACACTATTTTCAACTTTCCTACATATGATTAAAGAAAATTTCACTAAAGACGAAGTTTCACAACATACAAAACATGACTTACAAAAATTTTTGGCATGGTTTATAATAGATTATTTTACACATAATATAGATTTAATTTCGCAAGCAAGAAAAAATTTCAGACCTCAAAATTCAAACGATGATACCGCCATCACAGAACAGTCAGACTACGTTTGGGACCCCGAATGGTCTCATTATGCATTCATAAATATCCCACAATCAATCTCAAGTCAAGCAATAAGTACAATATCTTATACAAGAGATTATGTAAGAGTAGTACCATTAACCATTGATGCAACACCATTAAACTACAATACATTTTTACCTGATACGCGAAATAACAGTTTAAATTCGAACGTCATACACAATGAAAACCTTAACCGAACTAGGAATCTTACACAACAAGATATTCAAACACCATCACACTTCATAAATGAAGAAATCGTCCAAACAACAACAACTACACAACAAAGTATTTCACCGATGCGTCCAAATTTAACAACACCAAGAAATACAAACACTTCACTAACACAAGTAACCTTACAATCAACCGTTAAACCTTCGGTTGCTCCAAAGTATTCACAAATGAATTATCAAACATATAGACCCATGACAGTACCATCAAAAACACGCAGAACGTTCACAAGAAACACTTTTGCGGAACACAACTATAATTACGCACATTCATCAAAAACAAACTATCCCCCACGAAAAAATGATAATATTCAGATAAGATCTCGATATTGGGATAACCCAATCACAACAACCAACTCAGTAAATTTTCAAACTAATTCACACCCTCCACAGGATCGTAGTGAAAATTACCCATTCTTTCAACAAAATAAAAATAAAAAGCAAGCACCTCATCATATGGATTACTTATCCTCTGATGATGATTATTTACAACCAGATAATTTTGCACCGTATACCCAGGAATATCGCGGACAAGGAGTGCAAAAACCATATACGTATCATAGAATTTTTCTCCACATCCAACAGATACACAAAATCAACAACCAATACGAATGCAAAACCCAACTAATACACAATCCTTTCAACCAATTCAGCCACAAAACCCAATGATTACACACTCGTATCAACCAACTCAAATGCAAAATGAAATACCACTCCCATATTACCTTCAACAACACGAAATAACAAAAAATCAACTTTCAAATTTTTCACAAATGCCAAATGCCGCAGAATCACTACAAATGACAATGAATCCATACCTTATGGGTGGATCATCAATAACATCAAACAAACCATTAATGGTATTCACAGGAACAGACCCTGAATATTCTGTAGAAGATTATTTAAACGCAGTAACAGCAAATTTAATTTTAAATATAGGACCTGAACCAATTAATACACCACTACATCAAAATTGGATACATCGACGCACAGCGTTGATACAAACAACCTTAGATGGCGCAGCCCAAAAATGGTTTTCAG